GTATCATCAAGTAGAAAGCAGCCACCACCTTTTTCTATGTGTGTTTCTCCCCCCTCCCCCCATCATTATTCTTAATCAGTTCTGCTATTGCTACTGCTTCTTAGTAAAACTGGTAAAAAACAAAACAAAACAAAACAAAAAAACCAAGTTGTACGTAGTACTCTGGCAATCAAGATGTTTAAACCCTTCCATCTTCTGGGGTGAAGGAAGCACTGTGCGACATTTAGAATTCTGATTCACAAACAGGGTGGTCACAGATTTTCTTGGCTTGAAGACTTCCACAACTTTCCTGATTAGCTCATCGTAGGCTGTCTGACTTAAATTTGTTTCAAAGCTGACATAAGAAAACTCTGGTTCTGGAGTGATGGGATGTGAATAGTCCAATAAGTTCCATCCGATTTCATTGCATTCAGTGAATACCCACAAGGATCGACGAGAGTGGCATCAATGACAGAACCTGGTATCAGGTCACGAATTCTACTCTCACGAGTGACATCCTTTGCAGTTACACCATCTTTCATGTAGAATTGGTCCATAACTGCTGGGCTAAGCTCACGCATCAGAATTTCCAGGATCTGGTCTGGCTGACTGATTACACGACTCTCTGGGAAATCCAAAGTATGCAAGTACCAACAGTCTGAGAATTCATACACTATGCTTCCCATTTGGGACAGTTGTGCTAAGAAACTCTATTTCTTCCTGGAAATCCCAGTGTGGATACCCTTGATGAGAAGACTTCATGAAATTCTTAGGAGAATAAAAGCAGCTTTGAATTGAGTCAAAAAATGCAACGTCTCTTGGAGATGAACATGTTACTTTCACTGAGTACATAAGCTTCCTGCTTGTCAGTTTTGGTCTCATTTATGATTGAACATTACGCATCCTTCAAAAGCATATCCCACTTAGATGTTGCGATGGTGCAAAGATCCCCAGATTCTTGGTTTGCATTGGGCTACTTCCTGGAGAACCACGACTCCAGCAGCTTCTTGATCCCCTCGAAAGAACGTGCAACTTCTACCCCGTAAGACTAGTGAATCACAAACAGACACAGAAAATCAACAAAAACGAAATCTCTTCTCTTGTCGCTTCTGCTGCCACCGCTGCTACCTCCTTACCCCTACCGTGGATTGTTCCAGCTGTGTTTAAAGTTCAGGTTCCTTTTTATTTTTTAATCTGTAATTTTATATTAA